TGCACTTTTGTTTTTTGGATTTCAAAGTAATCTTAAATCTGAATTTCAAACGATATTGTGTTTTCAGTAGGAACTTTGGAATAAGAGAGTTTTTCTTTTGAAAATTTTTTTGTGTGCATTATTATGTTGGTAAGAGGAACTGAAATCGATAAATATTTGACTCAAGCATATTGAATGAGACGTAAAGAAATATTACAGTCAAGCATTATGAAAACTAATGCATCGTCTCTTTTTCCATTCGCCATACATTGCCTTTTCCAAATCACTAATAACAAAAGTATAGTTTGTACAAAACAATTTAACAAGAGACAACTAAAAATAATTATTTCAAAATTTTATTATATATAATACACTTATCTAATAGAAGGACAACAAAGTACATTGACAAAAAATAAATATCAAAATATTAAGAGGACATTCTTACAACCTTATAACGTAGTCTATCCAATCAAACACATTTAGTGCAAACTTAGAGCAATTTTAAATTAATAATCGTTCAAAAAAAAAAAAAAAAAAATTGAAAAGTTAGAAAATTCGTCATTAGCCTATACAAATCACAACCTATTCTATATATATTTCTGCATTTGAAAATCATTGGAAACCTATAGGAATGACAATCAATTATATTTTGTTTATGCCATAGAACAAGCTAAAATTACCAAATGATAAGAGGGAAAAAAAAATAATTCCCAACTTCGAAAACTGCACAACCACTCACATTTTGTTTCTTACAACAAATCAACCAAACAATTCCCAAACAAAAGTGATCAATCCACTCATCAATTTGTTTCCTTAAAAAAACTTTAACTCAACACTTACCTTCATACTCCCGGGAATATTTTCAACCTCTGACACCAAGGACTAGATTAAGTCAGCATTCTTCAGCTGGTGAATGATCTTTTCAAGTATATCTTTTGTCTTCGTGTGCTGGATCATATCTTCCAGAATCCTGTCCTCAATCTCCGGCATCTGCTGCTTTGATATATCCTTCCAGTTTGAAGAAGAGCAGAAGACATAGTCGGATAGGTCGCGGTCAGATCCTCTTTCGTCCAATCCAAGGGCAGAATATACTGGCTGAAGATGAACAGTTTTTCATTCAGCATCATACTGAGGTGGTCAAACTAGAGGACCAATTTTATTTTGACCCTTCGCCATGAATGAGCTTTGACGCCTCGACTGCTTGCATATCACTTCGATTGGTTGGCACTTGCGACTTGTATTTTTGGGTGAAGTAAGGATGAACAGATACCAAAGAAAATCCAAATTCACTCTTAACCTTTCCCTTCTAACCTCTCGATTAGTTTCTTTTGCAGGACACTTCCCTTGTGCACATGCACAAACGGTGACATGAAGACTTTGAGCCTCTGCACTGCACAGCCTTTCGATCTTCAGGGTGTTGAACAGCTCTTTGAAGTTGTTTTGGAACGGCGTCCCGGAAAATATGACGTGCTTTTCTCTCTTGAGCTGAAGCAGGGATGTCCAAATCTTATTCCTGTTGTTACGAGGAGTATGGCCTTCATCAAGAATCACTAGTTCAGGCATCTCAAGAAGTGTCGACCTCATAACTTCTAACTAACCTGTCCTCTGCCCCTCCTCGCCTACATTTGCTTCATCCATGTGCTTCTGCGCCGTTAATTTCTCGAAAAGATTGTAGCTAATCCCCAAAAGGCCTCCCCCTCTCTTACACGAATATATTTTGACCATGCAGATAGCCTCCACATTCTGAACTCTGCTTTCCAAGTACAAAGTATGTTGGATGGCACGATGATCATCGACACATAGTTTGGAAACATCTTTAGATACGTCTCAAGGAATACTATTGTCAGACATGCCTTTCCAGTCCCTGGTAGATTTTAGTTCTTTAACTCGGCAATATCAGTACTTCCTGCTAAGTTCTTCCAGAAGAACTTAAATCCTTCTCGCTGGTGTTAGTACATATATTCTCGTACACCAGCGTTGATGCTCCAAATAGAGCCGCTAGTCATATAAACAGGGGTAGTTGCACAAATTTTAAATCAACCTAAAATTAAACTGACCTACTTTCGGATAACATAGTAGTGCAGAATTAGGGAGAATAGATAAATTAAAAGGAACAATTTTGATGTTACCAACACTTGGATGATTTTCTTATTTTAGTTCTTTGGATGAATCGCCACATGTTGACAGCAGATACAATACAGTCCTTGATCAACTTCTAATGTGAATTCATGAAGCCCTCGAGCACATCTACGCTCCTGAGAGTCTTCCTCCTCCCCTCCTCTTGCACATAAACAGCCTGCAGGCCACGTTAGCTATCATTTTGCTTTCTTCATAATAATAGTGCTGAATTAATCCTCAATCGGTGTTGAATCATTTATTCTCTATTGAAACTGACTTACCTCACGGCAGGTAATCGTTTCCATTTCTTCCATACCACAGTTAAAGTTCAACTCATCAATCAAATTGTCCACCTCCTTCATCAACTCAGTTTTTCTCTGCTCCTCGTCTGTCAGTGGAACGACATCATCCTCAAAACTGAACTTCTTCGGAAGTGCAGTAGTTTTCGGCTTTGCTGGTATGCATTGTCCCAGATGGTGGTCCGAGAATGGATTCTTCTAGAAACTTGGAGATGTCAAATTGTTTTGGCTTCATCTTCTTCGCTTTGGCCCCTGTCATGAACTTAATCATCCCTTTAAGCCAATAGGGCATGTCATCTCCATCACCACTGTTTCTGCTAGTCCATGGAGCTTTGAAACGCTGTGCCTTTGAGACTGCACTCTCCTGCTCCAATCTGTGCTCTTCGACTTCACAGATTTCCGACAGCCTCCTCCGCTTCGTCTTCCTTTGTGGAGAGTTCACTACAGCCTTCCGTTTTGGAGTTCCCATTCTGTGCTGCCCTGAAGCATCCACAGGCGTGCTGTCCTCTGCAGTGTCAACTCTTTTTTTGTTTTTCACTTTTCGGCTCTTTGTGAGAGTGAAGTCTCCATCGCTAGACAGCTCATCCAAAACATAAATTATTGAACCTTTGGTAAAAGTATCCACCGAATTGGAGGGCCTATCGGAAGGGCTGTCAGAATTATCCTGGTTGGTGCGGCGATACGAAAAATTGCATGATCAACGTGGCGCGGCTGTGCAGTGACTAGCAATGGGAATTGTGAAAACCAAAGAATGGACAATGCTAGAGTGGGCATGAAGGCTCCCAATTTTAAACTATTCGGCAATTATCCTCTTGTGTGGGGGCAGCTATATAGAGTGTCTCGAGTTTAAACTATTTGGTGTGACGGCATCTACTACTGTTTCGGGCAACAATGGTGTTGAGACACCTCTGGAAAATTGCCCGAGTTTCAAACTCTTTGGTACGGATGTAGCTACTGATGCTTATGGGGGCATGAAGGGGCCTGTGGAAAATGGGTTGGGTTTTCGACTGTTTGGGGTGACGACACCAATTGTTGCAGACAACAGTTCTCTTGGGAGAATGAATATACCCTTAGAAAATGGGTCGGGTTTTAAGCTGTTTGGCGTGAAGGCCATGCAAATCAATCCTCGGCTACCCATATATGACAGGCCATGGTTTTCGCCGGTGTGTCCTTCATTTTGAACTGCTTGAAGCTCTTCATCGACCTGCAGCTCATGGAAGTTCAATTTCAGTATTGAATAAAAGATTAAAACTGCATATTTAGTGAAGATATTGTTCACAGGAGGCATTCAATAACAAATGAGAACTAACAGAATTATTGGAACCTTATCATAAAATCCAGTTGTAGTGGGAAGTTCATCTCCTGTTTCAGGTTGGTCATCCCATCATGTCATGTCAAGAACATGACGGCTCTCCATTTCTGAATCTACAACCATGTTGGAGAAATCATAATGTTACATTTTTCCTCCCTTGAAGTTTTTACTGATAAGCAAAAGAAAAAGAAAAAAGGCAAACATTAAAACATCACCGCTTCCAAATATATGCTTGATCATAGCAGATATCTTATTTCATGTTTCTTCAGTCACTACAGGTGCCGCCTCCAGCAACAGCACATCTCTCACAGGCTCAACCCACTCGAGCATCTGTGGTTTTGGGTAGTGATGGACCACTTCATCCCTGTCGAGCAGCCCCATGCTCATCAGTTCAATAGAGATTTTTCTCTCAACCATATCTCGGCTGCACTAACCCTTCCAATGCACCAAAAGGCATCTCCAGCATCTTCGGTGTTATCTCGTACAGAAGAACTCTACCAATCCTCAGTGCAGGAGACGCCAATTTCCTTCTCTCATCTCTTAGTACCATGGCTCTGGCATTCCCCTCGTGCCTCGACGGAGAATCCCTTTTCTCGTCTCTAACCACAATAACTCCGTCATACATTCCCATTGTTCATTCTGAGTTCGTGATGTAGTTTTTTGGTTCAAATGTATCATTTATGTTAGCTAATTTGAACTCAATTGGAATATTCGCAATGCATATTTTGATTATAATCACTGCAGAATTTAAAAAGTAGTGGGATAAAAAAATGATCATTTTCATGGGAATAGTTGTGTTGGGCATATTATTTAGTAATAAATAAATTATAACAGATAAATTTTGTAAAACTAATTAAGTTGACATTCCATTTTGTTTTTGTATAAATAATGGTTCTGACATTTAATTTTATAACCAATGATTGCAAAAACAGAAAAGAACAAAAATAACCAACATGCAATATAGACAAATGTGCACTAACTTTATAAATAACAAAAAAAAAAAAGATGACATCAATGTATATTTGTATTGGAATTTGGAAAAAATAAATAAATTTATACTTACAAAACACATATATGGAAGGCCAACTCAAATTCTTCACAAATAACAAATATAATATTTGACATAGAATATTCTAACTAAAATTTATACCAAACCTATATCTAATAGGCCTAATAAGTTATCTGATGTCATATAAAACCTCTGACATTGATAATAAATAAAAATATTTAATCTTTGTCCACACAAAATTAAATGAGGCAAATAATAAATATCTAAAATAATTTGACAAATTTTCACAATATATTACTGAAGATAAATATTTGTATTTTCTCTTAAAATAACATCCTACTTAAAAATACAATGTATTCTTTTTTAACAATACTATATTAAGGGGATACAAATATTCAAATCTAAGTATATTTGATGTTCAATCATCTTCTTAAATAAGTAGACCTGGCCCATTACAATAGCTACCTTAAACCCATCAAAAGCAATATTATTTTAAGAAATTGTAAATACAAATAAATATTTAAAAATTAAATAAAATTCAAAATGTTACCATTTTGTAGAAATTGAAATCTCAGCAAATAATAAGAATTTGTTGTGTCTTTCTCTGCTTTCAAACTTGTCTCAAGAATCCTGCGGAAATAGAATACTTTAAAATATTGTGTTGATAAAAATGACATTAACAATCCATAAAATATTTGCTTTATTTCCACAATCTAGTTTATTTGAGTTCTTTGTTACGCATAGAAAAAACTAATTGAATAACAATGTTGACACAATGCATCAAAGGAAAAATAAAAATGAATCATAAAATATATTGAAAAATATTCACCTCAAGTCAAATAATATTATTTGACTCTCCAAGATTAGATGCATATAGTTTAAATATCCTAGTACTCACTCAATTTTAGATTCTAGATTTAATAAACATAAGAGTCCAAAAATAAAATAAACTAAAATAAAGTCTTAATTTAATTCAAATTGTGGCAGACATAAAAAAGAACAAAAGATAAATCATATGATCTGGAAAGAGAAAGAAATAAATTAAGTATATAAAAATCCTATTTTACTTCTAGCTTTGAATTCAATTTTAAAATTATTTTACCCTCAAAACTATCTAGATAAGAAACATCAAAATACAACCAAATCTCAAGTAAACACACCCTAAAGTTTATCTACCAAATAAATAAATAAAATTTCATGAATATAAATAAATAAATAAATTTATACTTTGCTATTTTAACAAAATTTTATGAATATATCGAAACAATTAGCAGAAATAGTCAAACTTATCTTGTTTCTATATAGCAACTCCCCCCATGTAAAATATGTAGAAGTAAAGTGAGAATACAAGTTTTAGTAAATCTCATACTTAGTTTGCCTCTTGAATTAAGATTAAGGTTTGCTTAAAACTCTTCACCCCCCTTCTATTTTTATGATCTCAAACTATTTCTTTTTGCAAAATATAAAAATTCCATCATAGAATTCTTTTTTGTATTTTTTAAAAGATTTATTAGGGCACACCTTGTTAATTATTATTTTTTTCTTTTTTCAATTTTGATACTACAAAAATAATCCAACAAAATCCTCGTACCCTATGTCCTCGAATCTAACGCAATTAAAACAGTTTTGATGTTTTGAACATCATCATCCTTATAACTTACCAAAACCCACAATTAATAAAAATGGAACTCTAAACTTCAGTTTTGATTGCTCTGGACAGATTGTCAAAACCTGGAATCAATCTTGTAGGCGAAAAAAAAAAAAAAAATCAAACATAAAGCTAATCTTTCCAAACATATATATCACCAAAACGAATGAAAAAAAAAAAAAAATTGTCATTGTTTTATAGAGGATGAATATATGCTTTAATGCTAGAAGTGGTTGCAAAGTCAAGAGAAAGCCAAAAAAATAGCGATCTTTATTATATGTAATGATTGAAATGAAGAGAGCAATGTTTTTTTTTTTTTTTTTTTTTCTTTTCCGATTATATTTTTGGATATTAAATAATATTTCCTCAAGAAAAAAAACATCATCGAATATAATTAAAATTTATAATCTAATAATTATTTAAAAATTCAAAATTTGTTAATATTATTAAAATAGAAAAAAAAAAACTTCAAAAAACAAATACATATGCCACAAATTATTGATTTAGTGCAATAACTTCATATAATTATTACTGAAGTCATCTCTTAACAATGATTTTTTTATCATCACCATCTAATAATTTTCCTTATATCTAACGTTAAAAATACATCAAACACAAAACAAACACACTCAAATATACCAAACAAAATAAATACTTACAGTTTTTGTAAAAATTGGACAAGGGACGATGAATTCCTGTCTTCTTCAGTTTTCAAAATTGCCTCTAAGAAAACTGCATACATAGAATATATTTTACAAACGTTAGATTTATATATAATTATTGGAACATTTATGTTTTTATTTTCTTGCTTATTTTTATCCATACTGGACTATGCCTATAAATAAGTCTTTGCTTTATTATTTATGCAATTAATTATTTTTCTCTCAAATTTTTACATCATATCAGAGCCAATAGATCAAAATGATGTTCATCAACTTCCGGCCATCACCGACTCTCACCTGTGGCACCACTGTGTTCCTCGTCATCCGGAGACCCTTCTCCGGAAATATCTCGCCGATTAGCGGCGCATGAAGTCACATGCGCCGGTCAACTCTCATGCTACCAAAACTTTGACCTGTGCATGAGAGCCACCCCGACATCAATCTCCGCCATCTTTCATTTGCCACCTCATCTCGTCCTCCTCTACATCAAGCTGTCATTGGATTTGATTTTTGTGACAGTTTTATTTCTTGGATTTTTCTGTCATGTTTATGTAATCTACCGGTTATTGTATTATATCGGTCGAGTATTGTTATTGTCATCGTCAAGTTCATGCCATTCATAATTATCATGTTAGCCCATTTCGGAATGTGTGAAATATTCGGTCTTCTTATCACCCTGCATCTGCAACCCTCTAAAATATCATGACTCTCACGCATCAAGTTCTTGCTTCTAGTTTCTCTCATGTCATGGCCATTTCATGCAGTCTTTTGATTTTGGTTGTTGCAATTATATGACACCTACACTTGGTCTCTTGACCGGTGCGTACCTTGTGTCATCATCATCAACTTTACAGACTACTAATGGGAGCCGCATGAATATCACTCATTAAAGATCTGTATCTTTACAATTTATATGATACTTACTGCATTCTCTACTTGACTCTAAATCATGTACCAGTTGACTAATTAATTGACTAGAGACTTATTGATATTTTCTCCTCTTTAGGTGTGCAGGTTCAGGATCAAGTACGAGTCAAATTCTTGAGATAGGTCTAAATGTGGGTCATCGATTTATGGTACAATCTTTGAAAATTGCTCTCCGTAATTTTCCTGCTGTTGCTACTCACACTCCCCTAACTATCCTTCCTTCCCCTAGTCTCTAGTGGCCCGTTTGTCTATATCATGCATCTTCATCTAAAATTCAGTCTCTATTTAGTAAAAGTCATTTGAGTTTTACTAGTTTTGAGTCATTTGACTGTTTACACTGTTGTTTGGAAAATTAATCAGCCTTATCCTTTCCAGAAATGTGTCGACTCAAGTAAACCATTTTCTTTGGTTAATTTTGATGTTTTGAGTCCTTCTCTTGTTCCCTATATAAGTGAGTGCCATTATTATGTCATATTCATAGATGATTATTCCCACTTTATATGGATATATTGTTTGAAACACATCAAAATTACCTCAAATATGGTATCCTCCATCCATTCATTGGTTTTGATTTTATCCTCATTCCTTTGCATAAGCGTTTCCAATTAGAACCACCTGCATGTTTATATTTTCTTCTCGGTTATGGGATAGTGCAAAAAGGTTATAGGCTTTGGGATCTAATCTCTAAATGGTTGTGTATCTATCATCATTTACATTTTGAGAGAGTGTAATACTTTCTATCATGTCTAAATTCCATATCTTATCTTTTTTTGGTTCACCTTCATTCATGTCATATCTCATCGACCACATCAAGTAAGTCATCTACCTACTCATTTGCGTGATTATCATTATTTTCTTCTATGTTAACTCTACATGAGCCTAGTTCATTTCACAAAGCAAATTATGATCCGTTGTGGCGACAAACGATGTCTCAACAATTGCAAACTTTGGAGAAGACTCATTCATAGGTCTTTGTTGATTAGCCTCTAGAGTAAACACCTATTGGCTGCTAATGGATTTTAAATATTAAAACTATGTTTGATGGGTCATTTGAGCGTTACAAGTGTCGTTTAGTTATGAAAGGCTAATAATAGGAACTTGACATTAATTACAAGGAAACCTTTGCTCTAGTGGCACGTCTTACCTATGTTCATTGTTTAATTGTAATTTCAGTTGTTCGTAAGTGATCTCTTTTGCAGTTAGACGTCAAGAATGACCTTCTCCATGTTGATCTCTTTGAGAATGTTTATATGGCATTTCTTGTGGGTTCTTTACCTTCTTCTAAAGTCTGCAAGTTGCGACGTGCTCTTTATGGCTTAATACAGACTCCTAGTGCTTGGTTTTCCAAGTTAAGTTCAGCTCTTCTACAGTTTGGCATCACTTCTAGTTCACACAACTCTATCGTTTTTGTTCTACAAAGTATTTATGGTATCATTGTGTTACTTCTCTATGTTCATGATATGATCCTCATTGGGGATGATTAGTCTAGCATATTTGATTTACATAACTACTTTTGGAAGCATTTTTTATGGTCCTAATGTATATTACATGTCTCGAGCTAAGTATAGTTTGATATGTTGTCTCATTTCGGTCTCACTAATTGCAAGATAGATTTGACACCTCTCGATGTTGGATGTTGTTTTACATCAATGGATGAGACTCTTCTTGAAGATCCTTTTCTTTATCGCCAGCTTGTTGGCATATTGATTTACTTGACAATCAATCATTCTAATATTGCTTACGTTGTCCATCTGGTTAGTCAATTCATGTATGCATCTCGCACTACTCACTACTCTGCAGTTCTGCGTATTCTTCATTGGGTTAAGGGAACATTATTACATAGATTAAACTTCTCAAATCAATCTCTCTTAACTTTATTTGGTTACTCTGATGCTGATTGGGCAATTGATCCAACAGATCGTTGCCCCACCACTGGTTTTTGCTTCTTTCTTGGTGATTCTTTTGTCTTCTGGTGTAGAAAGAAACAAATAGTTGTCTCTCATTTCAGATCTAAATTTGAATATTGTGCCCTTGCTGATACCACTTTTGAGCTCCTATGGTTTTGTTGATTACTTGATGACCTTGGAGTGCCGCAGTCATCTCTTATTCCTTTGCATTGCGACAATAGAAGTGCTATCATGATTTTTCACAATGATATTTTTCACGAGCGCACCAAATACATCTAGATTGATTGGCATCTTGTTAATAATCATATTACTTATGGAAACGTCAGGTTATGCCCCATATATTCCAACGATCAAACTGCAGATGTTGTTACCAAGTCACATTATAATACCTCCGGAGTTGGATCAGTTCTAGGTAAACTCCCATGGATGAGCCAGTGTCTGGCCATCCGAAATTGAATATTAATTAAATAAATTGAATAGACTACTCATGTAAAAAATGTGCACATTCCTTTTCAGGAGCCGTATTGACGATGGGTGACCCACTAAGAAGTCTCCCAGGGTACTCGTTAGTTAGGACAGAAGCGCGCTGGAATGACTCGTGTTGACCTACGGAGCCAGTGTATGATCCTGGAACGCCCGGCTTTCCGGGGCTTACGAGCTGGGGCATCACAGTTGGTATCAGAGTTGGCCTGTGACAGTCCGAATTCGTTGACTTGACTGTTGAGAGGCCTAGCAGTTTTTTTTCTTTTGTTATAGAAAAGGTTGCGCGTGAATTGGGCTGCCTACATACCCGAATGGGATCAAGCCATACATAGTTCTGGTGATACAAGCTATATAGTCCAAGCTAAGCAAACAGACCAAAGAAGCCTAGGTATGCCTAAGGCATCAAGACCAACAAGCCTATCAAGTCTAAGCACAAGTGTCTCAAAGACAAGTAAGAAGGTGAAGCCTGCTGCCTGAAACGGAAAGTTGGGAGACCGTCTGTATCCGCTCGAAAGAGGCCTGTACTCGATGAAGGAATATTTGTAGGGAGAAGTGTCCATCCAATTAGAAGAGAAACTGCTAAAGTCGCTAAGGAATTATTGACACGGTTCCCCTCCATATATATACAATATATTGGCCAAGTCACATCCCTAAGACGCAGTGGAATACACATACGGCATCGTTGGAGAGTCCAGTGGCTCGTCTCGAATGAGATAAGAGAGATGCATGTTGTCGAATCTGTCTCAATCCATGGTGGCATCAGTCCTCGATCAATCGCTATCGAAACTCTAGTCTGAATCACTGTCAGCTCTCCCAAAGTGTTCGTCGCCTGCGGAATCGGGGTCTGAAACCCTATGAGTACTATTGCTGCCGAATCTTGGATAATACCTTCTGCTCTTGCCACTCCGGTATTGCCAAGCAAAACACCATCTATGTTAAGCTTGAACCATCCCGGAGAAGGTGCCTCCTAACGCACCATAATCGGAGGCTGAGGAATCACAACGGGATATCAAAATCCAAGCCCATCAGCTATATGAAAATCGCCCTCCCGATGTTGACATAGAAGAATCCTAGCATGCCAAAGAGTGTGCAAGTGTGAATGAATCCGCCAGATGAACCTCTCGGAAGACACGCAAAGCCCCTTGTGCTTCGCATCGTTCCGAGCAATCCAAATGAACCATAGTATCAACAACGGAATATAAATCGTAATACTCTGAGAATGTGCCAAAGAAAGCCTCCATAAGCACACAAATAGATGTAGTGTATGCGTTTCCGGGAAAGATAACCTAAAAAACACCACAAAATGCTCCAACACTCGCCAGGTAACAGCCGAACCAATAAAGAAATATGGAATAGTCTCCACCCCTATATGAAAACAATGACATCGTGATGCAATTGAGACACCAGAGTGCTGAGGGATCTCGTCCATTGGAATCCGTCATTGAAATAATCTCCATAAAAATACTGATATCGTTAGAGTCAAGATACGTGACCATAGTATCCCGATAGAGGCCTAGCAATTAATAGATCATTGGGGTGCAATATGGACGTTGCATTCTTAAGTGGGGGACGATGTAATACCCCCAAAGTTGGGCCGGTACTAGCCCAACTCCCGTGGATGAGCCGGTGCCAGGCTATCCAAGATTGAATAGTAATTAAATTGGTTGAATATACTACTAATGTCAACAATGTGCATAGTTCTTTTCAGAAGCCCTACTGAAAGAACTCTAGAGTTAAGCGTGTTTATCTTAGA